ACCTTTCCACACTCACGGTCAAAGTCGGCCAGCATTTGTGCCGCTTGGCTGATGTTTGGTGTTATTAAAACAATGTCATCAGCAAAGCGGAAGTGATGTAGTTGCCGACCATCTATCTTCACTCCCATTGCTTCCCATTCCAGTCGTCGCATGATGTTCTCGAGGGTGGCACTGAAGAGTTTCGGTGAAATGGTATCACCCTGCCGCACCCCTCTCTTGACATCAACGATCACTTCTTTGTAGAATGGTGAGATCCTGATAGTGAATCCGCAATACAGCTCATGGAGAATCTTGATGTATTGGGCTTGAATGCCATGATTGGCTAAGGCTTCAATGACTGGTATTTGGAGTATTACGCTTCATACTCCTTGAGAGAAGGAATCCAGAGTTCTGACTTCCATCAATGATCGAGAATCAGGGATGCTGTCTCATTTGCCAAGTCATTGAAAATCAGATGGGCCAGACACGTTGCTGGTACCCACTTGAACAAATCGAGGAACAATGGGAGGATGGTGCTACAGTGCTACAGTTGGTGACACTTACTAGCCAACTCGAACTAGTCAGGGCAAAAAAGAGGAATTTTTTTGTCCTGAGACAAAACCCCTAGAATTCCCAATTACATGAGTCTCAGATATGTTGGAAACCCCTAGAATTCCCAGTGGAATTCTAGGGGTTTCCAACATATCTGAATCTCAGGGGTTGAGGATGTCTTTGGAATTCTGTATGACTATTTGTTTTTTTTTTCCTTCTACATTAAGTTAAATCTATTCCAAGCACTACAGTCATTTCTTTTTTTCTTATTCTTTCTCTTTCTTTCCCTCTGTCTTTATTTTTCTCATCCCTTCTGGTTCTTTCTATTTTTCTTTTTCTTGAGACTGGGATTCAAGAAAGTGGTGCTGTTTGGACCTTATGGTCTTGACCTGCCAGTGGTATTTCAGGGCTTCCAGGACTGTTCAGGAAGTTATATGATGCCAAATCATCACATAGTGCCAGGGATTGAACCTGGGATTGAATCTGAGTCAGGATTATGAAAGGTATGTGCACTAACACCTTTACTATCTCCACAGCCCCAACTCTGTTATTATTATTATTATCATCATTATTTATTTAATTTTATTTGATTTTATTTTTGTTTCCTCTAGGCTTTAAATTGTTCCCCCTCATAAATAGCCTGAGATTTGGGAAATTGTCCACTTTTCCCAGGAGCTAAAAGGAACCCAACATCCACTTTCTTTCCCTGAGCTCCTTTCTTGGGAGAGGATGTTTCTTTATCACAATGAAAAGTTAGGCAGCAAAGAAAGTCACATACAAAAATTGAACTTAATTTCAAGTACAAGCTCCTTTTTTAAGAATTGCTAATGGGTGCTAAATTATCTCACCCTTAGTGCTAAGAAACAGTAAAGAGGTCAAAAATGAAAGCAGCACCTAGGAAAAAGGAGGCAAGCAAGTGCTTAGATCATTTGTGAAAATGGATATTCGGTCCTTTAATAATTAAAGATGTCCAATTTGTAGGATATTAAAGAAATCCCTAATGTATCATTTATGTTACAGCATGTCATTACGAATCCAGGATATTAAACTTTCATCATAATAGTTATGGACAATTGTGCCAATGAATTTCACTTATTGACTAGATTAGATACCAAAATAAAGAAGTACTGAATTATAGAATACTATACATTGAATATTTAATAAATTAATCCCCCATGCTAGTAGCAGACATTCCGGAAATAATACCTATTGCATGACAGCACTTAATCAATACTAGTTAATAATAATGATATGAGGAAGCTCATACCAGTAGATTTACAATTCAAATTAGAAGCATAGAGGAATCAAGCTCAAGGTTAAAATCTATTCTTGAAATGTCTGTTAGTTGTGAGTAGTTAAAGGAAAGGAGAGAAGGTTTTGTTACAGATGAATCTTTTGAGATGAGCTCCTGGGCCATTAAAAATGAGCTGATTCCTATAAATTTGAGTCTTGGTTTCTACATCTTATTTATATTTCTTATATTTCATGTAACCTTCAATTATAACATATTGTTCTGGATACTCAGCAATCAATTGTGTCTTAAAAATCTACTTCTCAAAAAACTTAATCACTTAATCACTTAACTTCCCATTAGTCCTCGATTTGCTCGAGCGGGCGCCAGTAACGTCTCCATTTGGCCGTCACGTGCTAGTGTAGCCCAATGGCATCTGTTCGCTCCGGGAACATGAAGAGCCTCAAACCGATCGTTCATGATCTTGATGAAGAAGTCTGAACATCTGGTAGGTGGGCGGCCACACGGTCTTTTGACATCCCGTGGAATCCAGTCGGTAACAGCTCTAGTCCAGCGGTCGTCTTTAAATCTCATTACGTGACCAGCCCATTCTGATTTTTGACACCTTGGCAAACGAGACAACATCCCTGATTCTTGATCGCCGACAGATGTCAAAAAACAGAGAAGGAAAAGAAGAGAAAATACAGGGATATAAGGGAGAAAAGAGAGACAAAATAGGGGAGTAAAGAGCAGTTAGGTATGAAGGAGAGGGGATAACCAGGCACCTCTCATTTACTTTGACGTAGTAGGTGGATCCTGACTTCAAATATAAAAATTTACCTTGTGGGGGGCACACCCGGTGATCTCAGGGATTACTCCTTGCTCTACACTCAGGAATCACTTCTGATGATACTCATAAGACACCTGAGATAACAAGAATTGAACCAGTCAGTCACGTGCAAGGGAAGTACCCTACCCAGTGAATACATAAAAATTTAAAGGTGAGCCCCTAGTTACATATTTGGTGTATAACAGGAAGTCCCCATGCCTAGAGAATTAAAAAAAATACCATGCAATCATTGATGAGCAAATATTCTGTTTTTAAACTTCTGAGTGTTAGACAATTTATGTAGACATCTAAAAGAGATTTCAATTAGATTCAATATAGATAATAATACCAGTTAAATTTCTTGCATAATTAAAAATTGTGTTTCAGCTTAATTGAATTGATAGGGAGAAGAAATGTTCAGTCTGTTTTGTTTTTGTTTTTGCATTTTGGGTCACACCCAGCGATGCTCAGGGGTTATTCCTGGCTCTGCACTCAGGAATTACTCCTGGCGGTGCTCGGGGGACCATATGGGATGCTGGGAATCGAACCCAGGTTGGCCGCGTGCAAGGCAAACGCCCTACCCGCTGTGCTATTGCTCCGGCCCGAAATGTTCAGTCTGGAGGGAGAATATGCCGAGGAAAACTTGGAAAGACCCTGAGCTGGGAACCTTCTGGGAAATGAGAAGTCTGTGAAAATATGAAAGGAAATAGTAAAGAAGTTTGTCTCTATGGCTATTTATATATTACTGTATAACATCTGCTTCTGGTTTGCTGTCTTGCGTGAGTCTTCTTTAATGATTTATTAATGCAAATAAAGAACAAAGTTATACAATAGGCTCAGTGACAAGATTACCACTACCTGAACTTGTCAGCCTGCACTTAGAAAAATCTGTTCCAGCCATGTAAGCTCTGATTTTCTAATCCCAATGACAGGATATGGAAAAGATTGATCTAAATAAAAGACACTGCTTTCAGCCCTATATTTCCTTGGTTTATGAAATTTGAAAAACACACCAATAGCTCGTGTGCTGGGGATCAATGATCTCATAGGCACATAACACAAAGCTTTATTAATGACCTTGAAAAGACTCTATATAGTTACAAAACTATCATTATCACTGGTAACACATCCAGTTAATTGCCACCTTTTTTTCTGATTTAGAAGTCTGTATTTCATATTAAAATATGTTAAAATATATTCATCACAAAGAGCTTTGAACAAAAAAATCTTGAAAGCAGTGAGGAATCTGTAGACAGACAATAGTCATGTTATGGTACTTTAAATGGATAATAAAGACAAGGTTAGGGTGCCAGAGAAATAGTACAGTGGGTAGGATATTTGACTTGCACTCAGCCAAGCTGAGGTTGATCCTTGGCTGTGGTCCCCTGAGTTCCTCCAGACATTCCCTGTGGCCTCCTGAGCGCAGAGCCAGGAGCAAACCCTCAGGGCCACTGTGTGTGACCCCAAAACAATAAACAAAATAAAGCCCTCCAAATCCATAAAGACAAAAATGCCATGTAATAACTGCAGTTGAATGCTCTTTAAATGAGATTTAAGGAATCTGAGTGAACTTGGGCCTGCAGGCCTCAACATCTTCTGACATTTTTTAGCCGAATAATTTCATTCAAAAGAGCATAGACATGACATATCTTTCTTTCTTTCTTTCTTTCTTTCTTTCTTTCTTTCTTTCTTTCTTTCTTATAATTTTTATTAGTGAAACACCATGAGGTACAGTTGTAGACTTAGAAATTTTTGTGTTTGGGTTTTAGTTATGCAATGATCGAATACCCATCCCTTCACCAGTGCCCGTTCTCCACCACCACTGATCCCAGTATAATCCCACCCCCCACCCCCCATCCCACCCTGTCTCTATGGCAGGGCATTCTCTTTTGTTCTCTCTCCTTTTGGGTGCCGTGGTTTGCAAAAGAGGCATGGAAACACAAGTTTGATGACTACTCTTGCTCCCTTATAAGGAAACTCAAATAACCCCTAAGAACGTGTAGCAGCAGGAAATGCTGGATATGCAAAGAACTTCCTTAGGGACAACTTGGACTGATCACGGTGGCCCTTCTATGCCCTAAGCTGACCAGAAACCTCTTCATTTCTTACCTTCACTTGCAGGATCAGATGCAGGTCCCAGGATGCAGTTCTCTCTCCCTAGTCGAGGGGGTCCAGCTTCTCTCTCTGTGTTGCATTCTGGGAAGTGTAGTCATTCATCACCAAAGGGTCCTGCAAGGCAAGGGGTGCGGCGATGGAGGGCACCGCCCCTCCTGCGCCTCCTCCTCGCCATTGGCTCCGCCCCCCGGTTGCCTAGGCGACGAGAGACGCAGACTCTTGGTTGGTTGCAGGTCAGGGAGCACAGAAAGGCGAAGGGAACTTCTTCGAGGTCTGTGCCTGGAGCGCTGCCACATGGATAGCTGTGACACTTCTTGTGCTAGGCAATACTGGTTTGAAGCAGGACCTACAGACCTGCTGGAACGCAAGGGCTCCCTCACCCTCCGCTCCCGCGACAAGAAATACTCCAAGTGCGTGTTGGTGGACTCCTGGTGAGCAAGCAAACTTTTCTGTGTTCCTGGGCCCTAGGGGAGAGAGAGAGAGAGAGAGAGAGAGAGAGAGAGAGAGAGAGAGAGAGAGAGAGAGAGAGAGAGAGAGAGAGAGAGAGAGAGCAATGGGACAGTAGAGGAAAAGAATATATGCAGAAGAAGAGAGGTAGACAGATTAAACAGAGGAAAAAGAGGGGAGGAAGAGGAAGGAGAGAGGAAGACGTAGAAAGGACAGAAAGAAGTAAAAAGAGTCAAGAAAGGAAACGAATAGAGCGAAGTGGGAAGGAGAAAGGGAAGGAAAGAGAAACATCTTCAAAGGAGAGATGTGATGGGTGGGATGAGGGTTGGGAGTCTGCGCAGTCTCCAGCTGCCCCAAGTACTCACCTAGGTCTATGGTAACTAGCACCCTGGCCAGCAGAGATCCCAACAAGTCAGGTAGAGAGTAGAGGATATTTGCCCCAAATTGGAACCACATTTTTTTTTGTTTTGTTTTTGCTTTTTGGGTCACACCCAGTGATGCACAGGGGTTACGCCTGGTTCATGCACTCAGGAATTACTCCTGGCGGTACCCGGGGGACCATATGGGATGCTGGGAATCGAAACCGGATTGGGCTGCGTGCAAGGCAAATGCCCTACCCTCTGTGCTATCACTCCAGCCCCTGGAACCACATTTTGAGACAAGTATTTGCTTGTCTAAAAGCAGGGTCTATTTACACAATGCCTGGGAAAATAGCAAGTAGTTAATATGTGATGGCCAAACTATTTATTTAGAATTACTTAATGATGAAAACTGTAGGCTCCAGTTTCCTGTAAGTGTAGAATTATGGCAAAATTAAACAAGTTACTGCCTGTGAAATACTTTTTGTTTTTGTTTTTGGAAAACAATGATCAGAAATTGCTTATTGTTCTTGGCTGCAATTTTAACATCTGTGTCATTTCTGATCTGTTTCTCTCTTTTGTTTTTTTAATTTTCTTTTTGGGTCATACCCGGTGATGCACAGGGGTTACTCCTGGCTCTGCACTCAGGAGTTACTCCTGGCAGTGCTCAGGGAACCACAAGGGATGCTGGGAATTGAACCTGGGTCGGCCGTGTGCAAGGCAAATGCCCTACCAGCTGGGCTATCTCTCCAGCTCCTCTCTTTTCTTTTTTTAAATTAATTTTATTTTTATAACGTTGTTCACAGTAATTCATTACATTTAATATCAAAACGCCAACCCCACTACCATGCACCTTCCCGGCACCATGAAAGTGTGTGAAGATTATTTTATTTCATCCTGGAGCCATTTAAACTTTTGTATAAGAGATTACAGGCATGTATGTTAAACCCAAACAAATGTGTACTTCTCTTGGTACATCAGTGGGGTAGAGTCTGAGAGGTTGCTCCAGGAATTCTGAAATTTAGAATGTGATTATAGAGCAGATTCACTCAGGGGTAAGGCCTATGTCGCTTTCTTTTGGGTGCTTTATTTCAGAGTCTCTGAATCTTGGCTGTTAATGAAATTATATGGCACCAGGACAGGTTGTGGGTGTGACTGCCAAGATACTGGAAAACTTGAGAACTGGTGAAATATATTTTAACATATAGACTGTCACAAAGCAAGCATAGTAGAGATTAGGACATAACCATTGATCTCAAGGAATTCCTTATGCCAATAAAAAAATGTCAATAAATTCACTATAAATATAATTTGTGAAAAATAGAGATGAGTATAAGAGAGCAAAGGTGACCAGAGAACGTGGGGTGTGTGTGTGTATGTGTGTGTGTGTGTGTGTGTGTGGTGTGTGTTTCTGAGCAGAGTTTCAAAAGAAGATTAGGTACCCTCACAGGTGCACCAAAGAGAACAGATAAGTGCAGTGGAATAGTAGCAATAACGCTTCAGAAAAATACATGGCATCTTTGTTGTGGTGGTGGTTTTAATTTTTGAACACCACCTGCTGATACTCAGGGATCACTCCTGAAGGGCTTGGGGACTATTTTGGGTGCCAGGGATTGAACTCAGATGTGTGCAAGGTAAGTGTCTTCTCTTCTACCCATTTCTTTTTGAGGGTTGTCAGAAAGAATGGGCAAATGTAATTGATCATTACCATTCATGGATTCTGTATTTGTGAACTTGCATCTGCTAAAATTTATGTGTAACTCCAATCAGTAGTTGTAGTGCTCTTGTGATTACTTACAGACATATGCAGAGGAGGGTGAGTTTTGAGTTACTCCTTCTCTCTCACCCAACCCACCCTCCCAGCTGCACATTCACGATCACGATCACAATCACGATCATCCTGTTGTTCGTCGATTGCCTCGAGCAGGCACCAGTAACGTCTCCTTCTTCCTAGCCCTGAGATTTTAGAAGAGCCATATTCAATGCTCTTTCAGGGCTAGGAGAATGAGACCTATCATTGTTACTGGTATTTGGCATATTGAGTATGACATGGGAAGTTTGCCAGACTCTGCCGTGTGGGCAGGATACTTTCGGTAGCCTGCTGGGTCCTCCAAAGTAAAAACGAGATAATAAGATGTCGCAAATGCGGCCATGTGCTTCCAGGAGCTAGGTTTTATAGTCTCTGGGTCTTGGCCATTGATGGGACCACCTGGCGCCAGCGGCACCTGGTGGGTGTAATGCCTACCTACTGGAAGATGGGGGATCTGGGTGGAGAAGGCCCAGTCCCGATCTGAGCAGGCTTGGAGATCTCAGCTCTGGGACCCGCATGCCTGGGTTCCTCTACCGGTTCCTTCATGCATAAGGCTTGTCCGGATGTGTGGAGAGTGGTCTCAGCATGGCTGTGGCTGGTTCTGGAGGTCTTCGGCTGCCGGGGCTCTGCTCGGGGTGGGGAGGGAAACTCAACCTGCCCCCCTCCAAGGGGCCCCGGTGAGGACAGCCAGGCGCAGGGGCAGGAGACTCTGCACTGTTCTCTTCTGGGAGCTGGGTTTTATAGTCTCTGGGTCTTGGCCATTGATGGGACCACCTGGGACCACATTCACAGTAGAATATAAAGAAAGCAATAGTCTGTTATTATGTTTCAACTCTCATGTTCTTGTCACAGTTTTCAGTGATGTGGTGCATGAGAATGACAGGCAACATCTCCAGAGGTCCCCAAATTTTTATTGCCCAGAGTCCTGGCAGTACACCCTTCTAAAGTATAAAATTGCAATAAGAAGTCATGGATCACCAAGCTCCTTTTCCAAGATGCCCTCCTGAATTGCTATGCCAGAGAAGCACCCACTGAGAAATAACACTTTTTGATTTCACACAGCCTTGAAACCACCTACTAACCCGTTTTTAAGAATGTCTATTCATATGAATTGACATAAATGTATACCTGTATTCATTGCCACAAAATTTACATTTTGGGACTTTTGTTGTTGTTGGTTATTTCATTGTTAAGATGGTCTCCAAGCAAAGTGCTGATGTGTTTTCTAGAGTTCATAATGCTGAAGTGCTTTCTAGAGTTTTGAAGTTCAAGAAGATTGTGATGTGCCCTTTAGAAAGAAAACATGGGTTACATGGCTCCACTGACGTATGAACTCTAGTTGCTGCTGTGAGTTTAATGCTAATGAAACAAGGAGATCCTAAGTAAGGATATGTAGTTATTACATATAACTACTTAAAAACCAGGTTTTTTAAAAAAAACAATTTATTGATTGGTCAATACAAATTTTACAAGAATAAAACAAATTTTTTTGTGAGCAGAGACTCAGGAACCTAATCCTGTGTTTCCTCTAAGAGTATTAGGCTAGTACTTGTTCATTGTGACACTATAAAACATGCCTACATGGTCAATGTGATGCAGTTGTAAGATGTGAAACACATGCATTGCTCTGAGCTGCTTATGAAAGAGGAATCCTAAGTTTTGTTTTATATCCACCCAGTCACTGGGGCCCATCCTTTCAAAAATTGAATAAGTTCAAAAATGTAAACTTGAAAATTAATTAATCATTTTGTTTTATATGGTTTGGTTAATATGTATGTATATGGATGATATATAATATATATCTCTATTGACTTATTTAAAATTTAATTGAATTTTAATCTTTTATTGCCAGTCACTTAAAAATTCTATCAATAAGCCCCTACAATAGAACACCATTTGGGTGCATTTTCAATTAAGATACTAAAACTATGGCTTAGCAAAATTAAGTTTGTAACTAAAAGAAAATCTAATTCACTCTGGATTTAATAGCTTAAACATTTGGATGATTTCTCTGTTTCTTTCACATGGTCATATAATTATGTCTAATTTTACCACATATTAAAAGCAGTTTCAAGTAACAGACACAATAAAGTGATTTGTCCAGAATAGTTTTAGGGCTATCCCTAGTTTTTTATGGAATAAAATATTGCTAAGGAGTCTTATCTTCCATGAAACTGGCACGGTGGATAGGGAGCCACAGAACTTTCCCCAGACCTTGATATTTCTGGATGAGAGATGCTTTGGGTAAAAGTTTACCTTTCCTGTACCTTCCTGTAGCACTTATGAAGTCATAGCAGAAGGTGATTATATCAGAAATTCTCAGTTGAGACAAAATATTCCCTTGGAATATATTGTCCCTTACTAAAATAATGGAATACTAAAGTCCCAAACAACCAAACTTTCCCTTGATATATTTTCTTGTATAAGAAAAGTTATTTTATTTTTGTTCTGGAGTCACATCTTGCAGTGCTTGGTAGCTACTTCCAGTGTTGTTCAGAGTGCCATGTGACGCTGGGGATTAAACCCATACCTATGTGCATGCATGCATTGAATGCCCTCAGCTTGTTGTCTCATCTCTTTGACCCTCAAGTTTTATTTATTTATCTTTAGTTACCTCCTCTGTAACCAAAGAGACATATAGTAATAAGTGATGATAATTTAAAGTAAAAAAATTCCAGTTTCCATGGTGACACTCATGCTCTAGTTTCCATGGCGATAAAGAGTTTTAAGGTTCAGGTTAATTATATATACTTGTAACTTTAATTACTTCTCTCTCTTGCTTAAGCCAAAGTAAAAGACCCTGGGAAATTTATCT